TGTAATTTTCAATTTGTTAAGAGTACAGCAACTAAAACAGGTGATTTCTGGCTACAGATTATGTCTTGCATTACTTTTCATATATCTGGTCCCAAAAATTTATTTATTATTTTGTTTTTGCTTTTTCAACTTTTCACATTGTTTTAAAACAGGTTCTACCCTATATATATTTAAAATAATGAGTCTGCCAGGAATGGTGGCGCATGCCTGTGATCCTAGCAGCTCAGGAGGATGAGACAGGAGGATCAAAAGTTCAAGAACAGCCTCAGCAATTCAGCGAGACACTGTCTCAAAAAATAAAAAGGGCTGGAGATGTGACTCAGTGGTTAAGTGCCATGGGTTCAACCACCAATATCCCCCAAAATAAACATTATAAAAGACAATGTGTAAAACATTTAACACATACATGGTTTATAGAAATTTAGCTTAATTCCACTCAAAGCATTTTAGCTCGACCATTGATTTTCAAATATCTAGCCTGTAGAACTGCACATTGAAGTTAATTTAAATAGAAAGTGAGGGCTTATATTTAAGAATGTAAGAGGGAGAGAGACCAGTGTTATGTTTCAAAAAGTATTTTCATCATTTCATGGTTTAAATATGTTGGGTTGCTTATGAGCCTTGATTCTGATACATAAACACAAGCATGTTCTGAACTACCTACACTGGTAAAAATTATTTTTAAATTTCTTTTTTGAGTTCTTCCATGTATTTATATAGTTTCCAAAGATTTTTCTGTTATTTTTAGATTTATTGCATTGTGATCAGAAAAGACACTCAATATAATTTCATTTTTTAAAAAATTTGCTGCAACTTGTTTTGTGGACTGCCATATGATCTATCCTGAAAAATGTTCCATATGCTAATAAGAAAGTTTTGCATTCTCTAACTATTGGATAGCATGTTCTGTTAGGTCTCTTTGGTACTGGGTGCAATTTAACCATTTCTTTGTTGATTTTCGGTCTGGATGATTTGTCCAATGTTAAAGTCCCTAGCTATGGATTGTATTGGTTTGACCTTTAGGTCTGTTAATAGTTGCTTTATTTGAGTGTTATAATATTGGATATATATACATATATACACACACATATTTTTAAAGAATTATTTGCTCTTGCTGAATTGACACCTTAATCATTATGTAATAACCCTCATTGTCTCTTTTTATTGGTTTTGATTTGAAGTCATTTTATGTGATATTAGTATGGCTACTCTTGCTTTCTTTTGGTGTCCATTTGCATGAAATAGCTCATTCCTCTCCTTGTTCCTGTTTTTAAAGCAATACTTTGTTTTTCTCTATTCAGAATAATGTTTGCCTTGGGTTTGTCATATATAGCCTGTACAATGTTGAGGTAAGTGCCTTCTATTCCTAGTTTTTCTACTGTTTTAAACATCAGTGAGTACTGAACTTTGTCAAATGCTTTTTCTGCATCTAATGAGATAATAATGTGATTCTTGTCTGTAAGTCTGTTTTATTGTGGTGAACTACATTTAGTGATTGTATCTCTGGGCTGATAACCAACTGATTATGGTACTCTTTTTAAAAAAATATATATTTTTTTTAGTTTTAGGTGAATAAAATCTTTTTATTTTTATGTGGTGCTGAGGATCGAACCCAGTGCCTCACATGTGCTAGGACAGCACTCTACCACTTGAGCCACAACCCCAGCCCGGTACACTATCTTTTAAATGTGTTTTTTCAGGTAATTTGTCAATGTTTTATTAATAATTTTCATATCTATGTTCATCTTTTCATTCATTAACTGATGAACATCTGTATTGTTTCCCCTGTTCTACTAACTATTGTAAATAATGTTAATGTATGTGTATATGGTTTTTGTGTTGTAAGATTTCATTTCTTTTGGGTACAAACTTAGGGAGAGAAATTCCTAGACTATATTAACTCTTTCAGTTTTGAGGACTGCCACAGTAGTTACAAAAGTGGCTATACTATATTATATTCCAATCAGCAATATATGATGATTACTCTACATTCTCATCAATGTTTTTTTGTTG